CCCCCATCAACACTGATACATCTTGAGGATTCATTTGATAAATCTTGCATCCAATACTCTGAGCTGCCTTTTCATTGATGAAATTATGTGTAGAGCAACTATCAATGAGAATACTGATTGGTTTGTGCTCAGTGAACCCCTGGACCTTTAAGGTTTTGTATACTCTAGAACCATGCAAGGCTTCTAAGGAGATCTCACAGCTTTTTATAGCTTCTTCTTCTTGCCCTTGATCTGCAATGACATCTTCAAGTTCTATTTCTTCAGTGATAACTGCATCTGCCTCTTCAATTTCCAAAGAATAGATCTGGCTTTTGGCTTTGCATTTATGCCCTGGTACAATCTTTTCATCACAGAAGAAACACATGCCTGAGCTCTTTTCTCATCCATCTCAGCTGGAGTGAGTCTCCTTCTCCTACTATTATCAAAGCTGGTAGTAACTGGCCCTTTGCTTCCTATTGTGATCCCCTTAGAAACTCCACTAAATCCTTGTCTTGAAGCTGTCTTAAAAGCAGAATGTGCTGTAGTTTGCCCCTTAATGGTCTTACTCTAGGCAGCAAAGCTTGCCCCTTGCAATCTGGCCAGATAATAAGCTTGAGGTAAGCTGCATGGATTTCCTACTCTAATAGCATCTCTGAGCTTCGGTTTTAAGTTGTTCAAGAAAATGCTGATTGCATACTCAGTAGCTAAGTTGATCCTGGTGATAACACTAACAAAGGACCTCTGATAATCCTTTATTGAACCTGTGTGTTTGACATTCATAAGCTCAGTCATGGGGTCAGAATACTCAGCCCCAATCAAAATACTCAGCCCCAAATCTGTCACAGAGTGCCCACAAGTACTCTTCCCAAGCAGGAAGAGGCATTTGTCCCCTACTTCTTATGTAACCTAAATGCCACTGCAAAATATCCCCTTCAAAATGCATGGACACTAACTTCATTCTATGTTGAATAGTAACCTCCTCGTCAGCAAAAAACTGCTCCACCTTATACAACCAAGTCCTCACCGTTAAACTTAGGAAATTCTACCTTGTGATATTTAGCAAAAGGGGTGTTAGGTAAGGGACAGTAGGGGTGTAAGGAGGATTCTGTGGAAGATCATTAGTGGGAGTAGGCTGATATGGTGTGGTGTAGGAAGATAAGGTATCTGGTGGTACATGGGAGGGGATATGTGGGTGGTTTGGGTGTAGTAGATAGATGAAAACTGAGTATGTTGAGCATACTAATTATATGGTAGGGGTATAGCCATAGGTGAGCCTTGGGTCTGAAACTGGGCTTGTTGATAGCTCCTACTTAAGCTATTTTGGTTGTAAGGAGGCTGAAGTTGTATTAGGGTTGTTCTAGGAAGCGGGGTAGGGTATGGCTGAAAACTGTGTGTTTGAAAAGGGGCAGGTTGTATAGGGGAGGTTCGTGCAGGGAAATTGTGTAATGAGGAGCTAGGGTTTAAGGGGTATTTGTGAAGCCTGCGCCATAGGAACAGAGGTGGCTCTAATTGGAGCAACAGAGATGGGGTTACTGCTAGTACTGGAAACAACAACAGGAGGGCTATTAACCCCTTGCGAGCTAGGTGAAGCCACATCTCCAAATTCAAAAGGTTTATCATTAGGAGAGTAAAGCTCACCTCCGCTGTAGGCAACTGATTTGTCTCTCTTGGGTCTCTTACATCGTGTATAACCTCATTGAGTACCTCCTAAGCTTGCTCAGAGCTTCTTCTTGATTCCTACAGGTTTGCTCTTGAATAGCCTCCAGTTGTTCTTGCCTAGTTGTGAAGGTAGATACTTCTGTAGAAAATTTCTTGAGTGTCTCCATAACATCATTCATATTAACGGTCATCGTACCCACAGAGCCAAGATTTTCTCTGATACCACTGATACGAGCTGGGCTAGGTAGCAGAAATTAAAAGGGAAATGAAAGAAAAAGCGATGCAAGAAGGAAAAAGCAAGAAATGAAAGCTAAATTAGGGCAACAAAATAAGAGTTTTGTATATTCATCCTAAAGAAAGAGGAAGCCATTACAATATATATGATTGCAGCCCTAGATTCCTTAGCTGGCAATATACTATCTCTGTCAATTTTAACTAACAGGGCTGGACCTAATGTGTATAGAACACCCAAATGTATGGGGTCAATGTGTAAATACTATAACTATAACTTAAAAAGTAAAAAGGGCTGAACTGACTAACTTGTAAACTTGCCCCTAACCTCCTTCTCAACTAATATAACAGCTACGTATACTTGCGCAAACACAAGGTACTACGGCATGAAGCTCTTCTCTGTTAAATTCGTATAACAAAACCATAGGTGACAGGTAATGCAGATTTAGAGTATTGTTCACAAGTTCACGTGAATCTACTAATTTTTTTCGGATTATATATATATATATATATATAATAAAATTCATTAAATACCTATAAATATTTGACTATAAACTCAATTATTATTATTGTATCAAATTGAGACAGCTGTAAGAATACATAAACTCCTAATCCTTGATCCGCTTCTGAAGAGGAGAGGCAGAAGATTTTGTTGGCCCCAACCTAGTGAAAATAATTCGTATCATACATACAGAACCTTGACAAAAATCACTGTTATATAGATGTTATACATATGGAGTTGTATATTTTACTCGATACGTTATGCACCAATTTGATACAGTTACTTTAATTTTGAATTTTCAGTTATTTGTTGTAAATTGATACTTTGTGGTGTAGCGATCGGTACACGTGGTCAAATAGCACGATAATTAGCTTGGCAACTAACACACCAATTACAATTTTCCTTACTTTGGCATTTGCTTCTTTCATTACTTTTTTCTTCTCCTATAATATGATTTTTGCTCCTATAGAACATAGAACGAGTAATTTTTGTATGTTTTATATACAGCATTATTGATCTCTCGAACAGCACAAGGCAAGAAAAAATGGTTAAAGTGTGCTAGTGATGTGGACATAATATTAATTTAATCGAATTATGACAATGGAAGTCTAAGTGGTCAACACATGCATAGAAATAGGATAACTCAACTGATATCAGGCTATTGAAAAACGAAAAAAGAAAATTGATACCAGGCTACAAGACTCCAAATTAAAGACAAAGGAGGAAAAATGGCTACCGTTTTTAGTGAAACAGTTCAATGATAAAAAAAAAAACTACATTTATATATCAGTGTTGCGAGTTCAAATAAAAAAAAGGTCACTACTATGCTCTTATATCTTCTCTATTTTCATGTGAACTATGAAAAACAAATATATATATATATATATATATATATATAATNATATATAGCCGGTTGAATTCATTGATTTTACTTTTTTTAGCTGGTATATATATATTATACATCGATTATACATGGTTATACATATATTATACATAGATTAAATAAATATTATATATTTGCCGGCTATTTAAGTTTAAGTGGAGAGCAAATAGATAGCTATTTAGGTTAATTCTTAAAAAAAAAATACAACCATGTGAACCAAAAGTAGGGATATTCATCAGGGTGGTTCGAATTTTTACTATCCAATATTGCGATGGAATAATAAGTACGCGTTTATCCTTAACCAGAAATTTCAAATTCGAGCTTTAGGAATGGAGTTACCTTTAGTAGCGAGTGTTTTACCCCTAAAATGGAACTTTTCCGCCCGATCAGGATTAGTCGGGCCCCTAAGCTGGTACTGAACTTTGGATGAAAAATAAATAAAAAATTTAATTTGGTTTGGACTTAATTGGACCTTCTAAAATTGGCCTCAGAAATAATATAGTTATGTAAAATTGTATTATTATATGTATACATGCTAAAATAATATAATAAATATATCCGGTATTTCAGTTTGATCCGTCAAATATTTTGTAAAAATTGAAGACCGAACGTAACTACCCTAGCATTAAAAAAATCAGGAATTTTGTTGTTCTATTTGGAAATCGATGAACAGTCCTAACCGAAAGTAACCGTCATTCAAGGCAAAGGCAAAAACTACCACCTAAAGTAACAATTAACAAAACAATAACAATAAGCGACATGCTAATAGAACAAAAGAATATGACTATAGTATTAAAATCCCATTCATTCTTGTTTCTTTTAAAATGCAACACCGAGCCACTGCTAAAAAAATAATACTTCTCTCCCTCTATTTCAAATTAGACGAGATATTTTTCTTTTTGGTCTGTTCCAAAATAAATGATACATCTTTAAATTCGAAATAATTCAACTTTAAACTTTTCATTTTACTTATTTTACCTTTAATGGGAAGTTTTTATTACCACACAAATGTTATGACCCCACAAAGCTTTTACCCCTTAAGTTTTTAAGACCACAAGTTTCAAAAATCTTCTTCTTTTTACTTAAACTTCGTGCTACCTCATCTAAATTGAAATGAAGGGAGTAATAATAATAATAATAATAATAATAATAATAATAATAAGGGACCCCCTCCTAGACCAAGTTGTCTCATTTTCCATTGCCCATGGTCCCTCATAACATGGAGCAAATTAAGCCACTTTTCCCCACTATAAGTTCTCACTTCCTCCTCTCCCAAATTCCCACCCTTTTCTTCCTCTCATTTCCCAAAAGTCCATATGTCATAAATTCCAAAAGTGAAAAAAAGATTTGTGATTGATTGAAGAAATGGAAATAGAGTTGGCAAAGTGTGAGTGTTGTGGTCTAAAAGAAGATTGCACACAAGAGTACATTAGTCAAGTGAAGGAAAATTTTGATGGGAAATGGCTATGTGGACTGTGTTCAGAAGCAGTTAGAGATGAAGTAAACAGAGGAAAAAAGCAGCAATTTCTTTGCATGGAAGAGGCAGTGAAGGCACATATGTCATTTTGTAGAAAATATAAGTCAAATCCAGCAATTAAAGTAGCTGATGGGATGAGGCAGATGCTAAGGAGAAGGTCTGATTTGACATCATCATCATCATCATCACCTAATTCCAACAAGTATTCAAGATCAGCAACTTCATCTCAAGTAGGAGATGATCAATTCTCTTTCTCCTATTATTAGTTAGACAAAAGAGAGAAAGCATAGTTTCTTCAACTTTTGATGGAAAAATAAAAAGGTCTAACAACAAACAAGTCTTTTTCATTGGAGAAATCTTTCTTGATCTTGTACAGAGGATGTTGTTTTAATAGTGCAAATAGTTTAATTATTTTTCTCTCTTTTATTTTATATATATGGCCATGTTCTACTTATTATTTTTCCACTACAATCAACAGAAGAAATCTTCAAAAATTTCTCCATTATTTCCCTACAATAATGGAGTTTTTTCAAAATTTTCTCCTCTTTTTGACAAAAGTGGGAAAGAAAGTTGATTTAGTTTGTTCTTTGAGTTGATCAAACATTGAACTTTTTCTTGTGTTAGGACTTTTTTCCTTTGAATCTTTTGATGTTATGAATTGGCTTTTTTATAATTCAGTCTAATATAGTACCATATATGTTCCTAATTTTATACTCCCTCCGTTCCAATTTAAAAAAAATGAAAGACTGGGCACGAAGTTTAAAAAAAAATGAAAGACTTTTGAAATTTGTGGTCTTTAACAAGTCAAAAAGGGGTCTAGAGTATTTATGTGGTTATAAAAGTTTTTCATTAAGGATAGAATTGAAAGATTAAGCTAAATTGATTTTAAATTTAAAAATGGACCATTTTTTTTGGAACGGACCAAATAGAAAATAATTTCACGTAATATCAAATGAAGTTCAAAAGGAAACCTCCTCAATGCTGAAAGGTCAAAAAGATTATTAATTTTATCTTTACGACAGAGGCTCATTCCTAAATTTCCTTCTTTACCCTAAATTGATTAATGTTGACAAATCAAATTACTAGGAAGATCCAAATTATTGCTCATTAAACCAAGAAGATCTTTTTAGGAATCATGTCATATGCCACAATAACTTTATGTTTAAGATGCCTTTAATAACACAAATATTTCATGTATTTTGATTGAACATTTTATTGTCTGATCAAGCAGACTAAACTAAGGTTCTTGTTATCATATGCTAAATGACAACCTAGGATGATCATCTACTAGTTGACCTATTCAGGTTTTAATTTAACTACTACAGGATGATTCATCACAATATTCTCTGCTGTAAAGTAGAATTAGTTCACCAACTATACTAACAATTAAAGGAATTGTTTACACAACCCAACTAACACGACTTGAGATCATACGTTTTTCCCTTTAAAAAATCTATAACATTGAGAGATCAGGGAAGGAGAAGGGAAATACTTCCGTTGTCAAGTATTCTAAAAATAAATTTTTATTTTTACTTGTCATTTTTTGCATATCAACAGAAAAATAATTTATTTTTCTTATTTTGCCCTAGCATTAATTACTCATTTCAAATCATTTTTCAAATTCATTAAGACTATACACCAATTAATATGGAGATCATGGTAAATTATATATTTTATTTATTATATTTCTTAAGGGGTGTGCAAAGTCCATGTCGTGCAAAGTTGATCCCTATTGTATCGAATATTTCAATCGATATCATGACTAGACTGTAAAGATTGGTGGTTAACTAACACGACTTGATTTTTGATGATTTACTGAGTAGATTTTATATGACTTTGCTTGCTTTAAATAATGACATAGTATACATTTTAAATTGCCCCACGATCATGGAGCTAAGTCGTGAAAGTGTTCCAAAGCAAATCTTTGATTACAATCAAGTCAACTAGAAAACTCAGCCACTTTTTATCTACTTCTTCAGGTGGTCAAAATGTTATACCTTAAAGTGCAGACTATTGACAACTTAAGTTCTAAGTAATCTCACTCCAGTCACGCCAAGATTGGAGTTGAATAATACACTACAAATTTTCATTTTATTTAACGTTTTTGTACTTATATCTAGTGGCATTTATCCTCTAGTAAGGCGTGTCACTTAACACTGCTAAAATATATTTCTTATGTATGTATTTAAATAATGTTTTTTTCCAAAAAGCAGTACGTGTACATATAATAGACCCACAATGCATGCATAAGACGATATAAAATAAATATCAATTTCAAACAGGAAGTAAAACCTTAAAATCACTATATATGATCCTAGATCTACTGTTTTCACTTACAAGTCAAATAGTCGCGATATTGTCTATTGCTTAGAATTTTTTTTTTTCGGTTCAAGGAATAACTATTATATTAAGTTAAACCAAAGTAGTACAGGAAGCGTTTAAGTATAGAAACTATAACCTAAAGGGGCGACCCAGTGATGGGTCGTTACAAAGGAGGAACCTAAGGGAATTACTACTACTACTATTAATATCCATACTTCTTGGGATACAAAAAGGTTGGTTAAGAGGATTTTGTGAACATGTTGCGTGCTGAAGAACTGGTGGTGTAACAAAGTATGCTTGAGCGATCATCCTCCAAAGCCGGTTGTACAAAAAGCGGGGGTTGTGCAAAAACAGTAATGCCGGTAGTGTTATCCATAGGGAAACCATACTTTGCTAGCATATCAGCTACTTGGTTTTGCTCCATGTATGTGTAACATATGATAGGATCATCCAGCTACTCGTGCAAGAACCTGCAATCATGTATAAGGTTAGTATAAAGAGGGTGCGAGGTCTATAATATATTAATTACTATTTGAGCGCCTAGGTTCACTTTGAGAGGCTTGTATCCATGGTTATAAGCCAATTTCAATCTGTGATAAAGCGTACGTAGTTTAGTTTCAACACACCCATGAGAGATGCGACGTCGTGAAAAGCCGATGAGCCAGTTACCCGTGGAGTCACGTATAATACCACCAATCCCACTCTGGCCTGTATCGAAGTGGGCTGAACCATCAGTGTTAAGTGTGAAAGGAGTAGTGCGAGGTGGAATTGAAGTTGTATGGGTATACAGCTATGTGAGGACGGTGGTAAAACATCAATATGGAAAAATTCGGTTGCCATGTTGAGGATATGACAAGAAGAAAGCAAATTTAACGGTGAGCGAGAAATTATGACAATTCGAGCTAACTAAATATGCCAGAGACAGAAAGGTATAAGTATGGAATTTGGGATGTTCAGGGTATTTGGAACATCAATGTGTAAGATAAGTTGTTGTAGCAATTGAAAAGGGGAGTCGTCAAGCCCCTAGAGTCCAGCAAGGTTCGAGAGCATGTGTAGATTAGTCCAAATTGGTGTTTTCCTGGACATTCTAGGAGTAGATGTCTAATAGTTTCTGGACTAGTGTGGCATTGGGCACAAACATATGTGTTTAGTATGCCGAGATGTTGATAATATGCAGCAGTGGGTAGTCGATGATGACTGAGAGCCAAAGGAAATGTTTAATTTTGGGAGGTAACTGAAGTTTCATGATCCATGTGAAGGAGTGACGAGAGGGGGACGAGAGTAAATGGTGGTAGAGTGATTTGGTGGTGAAGGTCCTATGCTTCGTGAGGGCCTAAGCATGGGGGGGGG